GCAATAAAAAAAGTATGTCAGGTAGACGTATTTAAAAAAGGAAAAATCAAAAATTACGCTTCTTAAAATGCAATGCTTCATCATACTGCAAAACTTTATCATTTTAATTCAAGACTTAACAACCGAATTAATGTCTGGCAAATTCATTTTCAGTTTTCCTTATATTTCAATAACATAATATTAAAATTACAGACATTCTAAAATGCTTTGAAATTTTCATAAAAATAAAACTTAAAATCGCGTCTGGCACATAGTTAGCAACGTGAAAAATGTCTGGCAATAAAAAAAAGTATGTCAGGTAGACGTATTTAAAAAAGGAAAAATCAAAAATTACGCTTCTTAAAATGCAATGCTTCATCATACTGCAAAACTTTATCATTTTAATTCAAGACTTAACAACCGAATTAATGTCTGGCAAATTCATTTTCAGTTTTCCTTATATTTCAATAACATAATATTAAAATTACAGACATTCTAAAATGCTTTGAAATTTTCATAAAAATAAAACTTAAAATCGCGTCTGGCACATAGTTAGCAACGTGAAAAATGTCTGGCAATAAAAAAAGTATGTCAGGTAGACGTATTTAAAAACGAAAAATTAAAAATTACGCTTCTTAAAATGCTTTTAAAATCCAGGATTTTTACCTGGACAGATAGGATGCGCACTAATGAACGCAACCACTACCGCCAGCCAGATTGCCCAGACTCTAACCGGAAGTGCAAGAAGGAAGACATATCACAAAATCAGCTGACCTAAAATTCTTTTTTTTCAAACGTTGCTACCTCCCGTACTATATATGATTGACAGAGACAAAAGTGACAAATTTAAGCATGCTAATTTAAATAATGTGGTGTGGGCATTAGTACATTGCTTTATATATAAGAACAATAAAATATAGTGTATAGTTTGGTTTATAAATCCTATACCTAATCAAAATACTCGGCTACTAACCACGTTCTGGTCAACCGCATTCGCAAATAAGTAATCCTACATTTATTTTTGTATCACATTACAGTTGTTAGTTTCACACAATTCGTAATTGTTATTATAAATGTTTGGTGTAACTATTACAGAGAAGACTCTTTTGAGCATACTAGTAAATATCTCTGGGTAATTGATAATGCTCTCTACATGAAAATCTGGCAGATTGGCGGTATCTTTCAGAAAGGCTGCCTTAGTACATATATACTTAGCCCCAGAGAACCAAATAATGAATTTAGAAACATCATTGTATTAACGAGATGAAAGATTTTCTTTCATTTCCATAATAGGGACACATTTAAATATTGTGTCGTGCTTATACTTTAATTTATTTATGAACTAATTTCACCCTTAGAGAACACTTTATTAGGGTATTGTTTGAGAATATTATATATGTTTCAAAGTATAACGGGGACATCAATTATACGTTGAATATGAAACACAGGCAAAGAGCTTAATCTTGACTTAATTGGACATCGAACGGAAGAGAAATCGAGAAAAACGAGTGTCCAAGTAAACGAGTCTAGCATCAGACATCCAGACCTATGATTTCTTAAGAAATCGGAATTCTTTAATTTGAAAGTATAGATTTCAATCTTATTCCAATATATTTTTGAGTTTATATATTTTTGAGTTTACAGATATATTGAGATTTTATATTTCATATAACTTTGTTTTCTTATTCTGCATTCTTAACATATTAACTGTATTCTGTCCAGAGAGCACTGATGAATTGCTCCAATTAAAATTATGGTCTTTAGATTAATGTTTTTACAGATGCCACGCCACCCGTAGTTTTAGTTAAAAGCGAATGAGAACAAAGTTTCTGCATTATGACACACACATATATATACAGTAGGGTCATCTAGTAGATAATATTTTGTTTTTGCCTGAATATATATATATATATAATCTTTTTCATGTTCCATGTTCCTGTCTTGTTTTCTCTGTTCCACGCTTAGCTAATTGGATGTTTTATCCCAAAATACATTGTCTTAAATTCAAGTTACAATCAATCTGGTAATTTAATTCAGCGCATATTCTTCGCGCACTTAATGTTATCTAGAATTTAACTTTGTTATTGGGTTGTTTCTTTGAAATGATTGCATTATGAACAAACAGCGTGTTATCTTGAGAAACTTTTCCTTGTAATCTGTTGCTGATAATGTTATAATATACGCTGTTAATGATATAATAAAAGTGACTCGAATTAAGTGTGATCGCCAAAGGCGCTAAATTATTAAGGCTTAAGAACCCAAAAGATCGGAGGCTGACTTACCTCTCTCCTGGAACTCCGCTTTGCAGCTAACAGCCGCCAGCACTACCAGAAAGATCACTTTAAACATATTGTCATAGGATAGCACTTAGCAAGGACACATTCTAGCAAAGTGCACAGTCTGTGAAACACCACATAAGTTCAAATCACTTGGCACCGCAACGCGCGTCAGTTTCGCTCGCAAGCACAACTTGTGTGACGATTAAACTCTATGGAGTCCAAGGCGCGTACGCACAGCGTCAGGATCAAAGATTAATTTAATGTACAGAAATGTCTAATGATGGGCGTCTCGTGAGTCAAGGAGTTTTGTGAGTATTAATTAATACTAAATAATCAAAATAATTTGCGTTTAAATTAATTATTTTAATTAAATATTTCTATAAGCAGACAATATTATGTTTAAGTAAATTATCCAATAAAAGGATCACAAAATATTTTTAATCCTATAATACTTGGAATCAACATTTCATAACTAAGTGATAAACGTTAAAGTTACTTATTTCACGTAACTATATGTTTATAACACAATAATAGTGTCAGACCAAAGGGATTAATTGTAGTGGGAGTGTACTCCTTCATGGTGTATCTGTTTTCTATAATCATTGACGGACAGTAGCGGTTTTAGGCTGTATTGTAAACCGGTGCGGTGGCGTTAGCGCAGGTAAGCCTTCAGGTGGGGGAGGGGTATGAAGTACGGCGCGGGGGCAAGGGACGCACTTGCATCTCTGCCGGGATAAAAGGAGGCATTCATTCGCATGGTATACCGGCTATTCCATTACAAAGGATCTTAGGATAATGTCTGCGAAACACGTGGTTGCGCCTACAACCTCAAAGTAACTGATTTGACTAAAAGAATATAGAGAAAAATATTGATGAAAAAGGATAAAAGTTTTACGAACCTTCAACAGTTAGGAATTATTAAAACATAATACAAAATGTCGCAATAAATCATCGGGTATATTTTTAATTAATGTATTAATTATTTATTTACCTATTAAAACACTAATCAGCAAACGGAGCGTCTCTCGTCACTCCTGCGCTTCCCCCAATTTGATCCAAACTAGGCTGACACACATACAGAAAACTTAAAAAATATAAATATTTTCTTTCTTAAGGGATTTGTATAAAGCGGTGAAATAAAGGACGTTTATATATTTTTAATTTAATTATGGGTCATCACGAGTAACTTGTAGTTTTCTGCCAGTATCTTTTTTGCGCAACCATCTAGCGTCGAAGTTATTTAATATTTTGATAGAGTCCAAAAGTATAATACAAAAAAATAATAACTATAAAATATAACTGATATGGTAAACTCCATCACCAAGATATATTTGTGTCAAAACATCACACAACATTTTTAAAACGGACCAAAGAGATTGAACCTCATACTACATGAAACAAAAAATTCTAAAGGCTAAAATACGTATATATGTAAGAAGACTAAGTGACAATTTATTTACTTCTAAAAAAAATACTTCCCAGATATTCCCAAATTTTATTGAAAAACTCAATTGTCGTTTTTAGTATTTTTCTTTACTTATTATTTAAATTTAAATAAGTTTTATTAGAATTTAATGGTGAGGCCATTTAAATCTTCCCTGAACTTCAGATATTTCAAAATTAGCCTAATCAATCCAGCCATTCTCGACTTTTAGCGAGACAAACAAGCAGTAATTCATTTTTATATCTATAGAAACCTATAACTATAAAAACAAATATTATTTTTATTTATCACTTTTGAGTTTATGGAGATGGAGACCAGTGGATAAAAGATTACAACTTATATTACAAATAAAAGCGCCTGTCAATAACTCGTAAGCAAATAGTGCTTATGCAATTATTGTGTCAGAAATAGCGTAAGTAAACAATAATTACACAACTTAACTGTATTATGTACGTATCTTATTTACAAAAGCTTGCCAACACTCGGTACAGTGATAAATTACATCAAAGAAAAATAAAATACAATTTAATATGACAAGCTCTTACACTTACACGAAGGGAAAAAAAAGTATAGGTTGGTATTAATGTAACAGAGAAGAGGACTATTTCATTCAAAAGCCCTCAAAGATCATAATTAAATTTTTAAGACATCTCAAATAGTGGAAAGTGCCAAACTCCGCAACACGGCAGTGTTTCAGTGTTTGCAGGAAGAGCATGAAACAAAACTTAGGCAGATAGATGGCTGAAACACATGAGCTCAAAATGAAGCAACTTGCCGAAGCTCCGGAATGGGCTAGACTGGAGCATCTACTAGGGCTCATATTATTAGAGCAGCAATTATAATAATAATTAAATACTTGTAAAAAAATAAAAGCCCTGTTTTAAATGAAATATAACTTTTCTTTATTTCACAAAGCAGCTCTAGCAGCTTGTTCAGCCTGATTGCCTGGTGGCGTCTGGGTTGGCCTTGGTTCTTCAGAAGCATTTTTCAATTTGGTATTTTCTAATGATACTGAGAAGCCATGAAGGAGACACCTAAATCGTTGCTTCCAAACACCAAAACACCGTTCTATTGTATTCCTTGTTCTTATATGATTGTATGCCTCCTCTTGTGGTAAACTCGGATTTAAAATTGAATATGAATATGAATAAATTCACACAAATTTTAAATTCTCCATATTTAATGGAGTCAATGCATAGCCTGAATCATCAAGAATTCGTCCTTGGATCTCTCCACTCTCCATTCTTTGTCTGAGTTGACTTTTTCTAAAGATACGGCTGTCTGTAAGTACTGCCTCTCTACCGTGCCACGACATCCAGAATACGGAGTGTTGCATAAATTCTTTTAATTCTAAAATGTGTACAGTCGTAGAGTCTAAATCCAATTATGGATCTGAATCTTGCAGATACTTCTTCCTGTTCACCGATTGTTGCAGGCATTTTTATAAATTGATGATTTCTCCTAGCGAGAGCTTCTGCTACTCTTCGGCATATATTTGTACTAACCCTGTGTAAATCAACAGCATTGTCTTGAACCTTTAAAAAATATCAGATCAAATGACGCCATTTTTGTCTTATACACCCGTTAAACTAGGTCTTTTCTTGTCAATTGAGGAATTATTAGTATCATTTTTCTTATAACTGGCTTATACGATGTGCATAAATCTTTATTAGTAAGACTGTACGAGTATAATAAACTTTCTTACAAAGGTTTTTTACAGTGCATATAAAAAAAATGTTTAGTACTAATTGATTTTAGAAGGAATTTGTAACTGACGTAAATATTTTTACTATGACTGTACATAATTATCTAGTTTAATACATTAATAATAACTACAGTATTAATACATTGTACATAATTTATCTAGTTTAATACATTAATAATAACTACAGTAATAATACATTGTACATAATTTATCTAGTTTAATACACAATGTGAACAATAAGAAAAGAATATCTGTAAATTACATTTTTTAATAAATTCCAAATATAATTAATTTATTAAAGAGACTATAAGCCAGCAACAGGTGGGACAGGACAGGGACGGTGAAAGGGCCCTGGAACTTTCTCGTTTCGGAAGCCAAGACACTTTTTGGGTCGCAGAGCCAGCGGAATGAGTGAGTGTATATTAAAGAGTTGATCTGACTTGAACATTTATTATAAATCCATAATGTCTTTAAGTATACACGCAGATATACAATAGTATAATTTAAAAAAAATACAAATTTCATATATGATAAGTTAGACATTCATATAATCTACAAATAATACCATTATCTCTCTGTCAATATTCAGATGCATGTGTCGTTCCTTGTAACATTAAAAACACATTAAAATTTTCTGAATATAGTAATAAAAATATAATCGCTGATTGTACTTTTTTGTAAATAGTAACAAACACTCGACTTATAAGCGACTAATCACGACGCAGTGGTGGATGTTTTAGGCTTTTACTGAGACATTTGAGTTTAAAATATTAACTTGTATGCCGATGCGTTTTTTTCAGAACTGTTAGATCCTTCCTGTCCTCATAGTATTGCTATTAGTGGCAAGCTGATGAATAACTAACGATACGCTGATGACGCGATTATGTCACAAGTCTACAGACCCTAGTCAATTCAGTAGCCATCGTAAGTACTGATTTTGGAAAATACGATATTTCATTACAGTACTTGATGAAAAGGGTGACCAGATACGTTATTTTGAACTAGCACTATGCGTATAGGCCTTTCAAAACTGTAAAATTACTTTGTGACAGGCTCCTTAAATAAACTGAGAGCGCGAATAAAGCCAAAAACGTGCTACCGCCCCTTTTTCCAAGATGGCGGCCAGGGGACAAGGGTGCCAACCCCACAAACTTGGGTTTAAACTTTTATTGACCCACCTCAACCCAAAAATAAAATTGCGTCCTTTAACAAATGTTCACTTTGGCCCTCAATCTGTAACATTTCAATGGACTATGTATGAGTAGCTCGGCGTAGAATCTTGGACGCTGTCAGAGATTAAGTCAAAAAAACTGGAAGCGTTCGAGCTCTGAGTATATACAGACGTTTGCTAAGATCTTGGACAGACCGCTTACAAAATACAAAAAAAAAATGAGCTCCTTAGGCAAAGTAGCAGGTAGAAGAAGACCTTGCAGCACCGCGCCAACGCCCGTAAAACTTTGTAATCTAGGCACACAGTCTTCTTCTGATGCATCGCTGCAAGTACTAAACCCGACCTCCCTCAGCTAAGAATACCAAAGTAGCTCTGGGTAAAATCGAATCTAAAACACCCAAGAAGGGCAGTCGGCAGTAGGAAAGTCTGAGGAACAGTGGGCCCTGGTGGATTTGTGGGTATGGGTCATTGCATTCTACGACCTTGACCCCCACACTACCCGCTAGACATTTAACAATTTGCCCAGGTGGGTAATAAGGTTTTCCAAGATTAAAAAAGGTAGAAGGAGACCCGGCCGCAGACTCACGTCTTGGTTATAGAATATTCAGCAATGGTTTGGTCATAGGGCTTTGAGTCATTGTTCAAAAGTGGAGCATCCAAAATTAAAGTAGACATGATGATTGACAGCCTTAGAATTTTCAGGTAGAGAGATTACTTTCAGTTGATATCCTGGAAACATGTATTTTAACACCCTTCAATCATACAGTTTGGTCCACGGGCGGAGAAGGTAAGCTTGAACATACATAAAAATCTAGTAAACCACAGATTGTTTCGAATGTCAAATTGGATCAAAATCCAAATTATTTAAATCTTTAAGTTATTTAAATAACCTCTCATCAAGACTCTGATTTGAGGTTAGTTGTTTTTAGATTCAAGAAATTACAGCACGGATTATATAAAATGTTACTTTTCATAACGTGGAATTCATTAAGTATGAACAATATATCTATTCTTGTAAAACAAAGTTATTAATATCGGAATGAGTCAACGACGTAATATAGAACAAGTGTGAATCGGCGCTTGGCACGATCTTATAATAAGTATCCTCTTCCTTGCCAGGTTTTCTCGGTAATGTTATCCAGGCTCGGACAAGGCGGCATATATCTATTGAGACTTGCCATGTTCTCAGCAGATATTATAATGCAAGTGTGTCTACAAAGAAACATGTGCACTATCGACAATTTTTGCTATTAAAATTATAGTTTACTGAAATAGTTCTTAAATAATAATATTTATAATATACGTCTACAAACAATACGATGACGTCATCGTAGGTTGTTAGGCTGCTGCCTCGAATTTTCCGGGCAGCGGGGCGGCGGCGGCTGCGGCGCGGGAGCGGGCGATTGCACCTCTCGTTACCCGCCCTCGCGCCGCTGCCACGCCGCTGCCACGCCGCTGTTTTCGAGAACCGGTCCATTTGATTTTACGCATAAGATCCTGCCGCTCCCGCGCCGCCGCCGCTGCCGCCCCGCTGCCCGCAAAATTCGAGGCAGCAGCCTTAGCCGTAGATCGCGCTATCAATGTGTTTGTACATACTACTTGGTGACCGCTGAGTATAAATGCAACATCAGCCATTGGGGCCTGCAGGCCGAACATTCAGTGGTTAAACGGTTCGGGGATACTCCCTTTAGGATGGTCAAACAGTAACAGTATTACTTGTCCAAATTTATATTATATACTTATACCATTAGGGAGGATTATAAAAATAATTGGCTCAGTTGTAATGTATGAGTAAATATTTTAAAATTATACATAAAAATTAGTATTTAGGCTCCGAATATAATTTAATCCCATTCGGTGTCGAGACCCTTGGTCCGTGGGTTCCTAGCGCTGTAAGGCTTTTTAAAGAAATAGCAAAAAGGTTAGTCGACATTACAGAAGGATATGTTGATAATATATTTTAGTTATTATATTTTAAGGTTAGTTATTGTTTTTAGTAGAGAATTAATGTATATTAATGTTCTTATTACGTATATTTAATAGTTTTTGTAATTAGTATATATACAATTATACAGTATCATATAACAAATTATTACATTGTCTTATAACAAAAACATACACAATTACACCACTCTGCTGAAAGAACATAAATTAAATCAAAGCGCTCCATGGGTCTCCGTTGTTAGCCTCCACACTCCTAACCATAACCTTCATTATTATGATGATTAGGGAGCTCCATTCAGAGCTCTACCACCACACCTCTCCTGGAACCCTTAGTGCTAAACTAAACTAACCTAACACATCGTTTATCCGGTAATCGAACCTGAATAAAAGGTGTGGAGTAAAAAATTCCTGGTTAACTGAGCATAGTTGACTGTATAATAAAATATTATTACTTATAATTGGAATACATTTTTTGTAGATGAAATTGTATATTCATTATTAACTAATCAACTAATAATCTGTGCGAGTAGTTGCTGTGTTATTTAGAGCTCTTCGCTGATGTGCTTACCTGTCGACCAATTTACCAGAGTTTAACGACGCCAAAGAATAGCGACTTCGTACATGTGTCTCTGTACTGGAAGTCACAACATCTAGTATCTCCAACCTTTAAAATAGTTTTCTAGTAAGTTTCGGTAGTCTTGTGACGCATGTACTTATAACTATATCTACATTTAAGTTGTTATTGTTGTTTATGAATTTACCAAGTAAGGTTAGAGTCAAAAATATGAATTTAGAATTTAGAAAAATATATTCTTATATTTTGACATAATGGTGTGTCATTCAAAATCCCTAAATCGAAAGAATTAGTAGCATAATCGTAGGGATGGATAATAAAAGCGACACAACCCACCAATGTGCTGTTATGGTTTTTAAAAGGAATTCTTATAATTGTCTAGTACAGTATAACTGGTGTGAGAAAGTGGACTGTAGGCGGAGCGTTAAGGCGTTGGTTGATACACGGGAAGGGAGTTCTCAATGCTATGGAATAATATTTAAGAATAACAGGTATGTGAAATCCTTCCAAATTTCCAACAAAATTGCGCTGCTGGTTTAAGAAGATGATGTGTTCCCCTATACGTGGATCGACTCATTATTGGGAAATACAGCGCGTACAATGAAATAAAGCAAACTTTCTTGCGGCGTGACCTAATTGGGCGTTTCACTGCGTTTATAGTGAGACAAGTATTCTACTGGCGGAGGATTCTTTGTATAATTGCATTACCTTTCCGCGCGAATATTGTTATGTGAACGAAACGGATAGGAATAGTAAGAGTAGGAGACCGTGTGTCAATCCAAATTCTTAATGACTAGACCTAGACTTTACGTGGCGCAACCACACTCTCTTACTGTTGAATATCGTAGATATCTCACTTCAACTGTATATATCAAAGCTTTTAAACCCTTAATACATTTACGAACCTCTGTTTAGAATATCGAGAATATATGTTATAGATTTTGACTTTATAAGTTAAATATTTTAGAGAAATTCCGGTACATGTAATATCTGAGATTAACAGTCTATGCAAGGCCGATGTCATGCGCCTACGCTCATTCGTACATTGCGAAACATTTCAGTTGTGGAACACTCGAAATTGAGGATGCAGCTTATTTTTAATGTACCTATTAGTAGAACCTTGTCAGGAAAAAATTGCAATGAAGTTTGCATGTAAACTTCGATATTTCACTAGATACCTATTTGAAACTACACCAATTAAAATAATTAACTTTCTATATTCAGAACTAGCCTATTTAAAAGCGAAACCCTCCATCCTCCTTTTGTTACTTTAAATTCTACTAATAATGGGTGCGTGCGTTCGTCACAAATACCTTATAATATCATTACACACTTTATAAAGAATTACAACAATCTTTATAAAGAATGTACTATAGATATTACAGTAATATAGATATATTATTTTATTATTATGTTTTTCTTACAAACTCAAACTCAAACTCAAACTCAAACTCAAACTCAAAATATCTTTATTCAAGTAGGTAACCAAGTACACTTTTGAATCGTCAAGTTAAATTAATCGTAAATTTACATTTACTACCAGTTCGCAAGTCAAGGGCGTAGAGCGGGTAAGAAGAACTGGCAAGAAACTTTCCGCCACTCTTTTTAATCGCCAAGTATTGTCATACAAATTGTTTGAACTGGAGCAATTCAATCCCAAGGATTAGGATCATTTAAGTAGTCCTCAAATTTATAAAAAAGCTTTGTTGATTAATTTTCGTTTAACGAGGGCTTTGAATTTATTTAGTGATAATTCTCTAATTTCGCTTGGGAGCTTGTTGTAAAAACGAATACAATTTCCATATAAGGAGTGGTTTATCTTTTGGAGCCTGGTTGGTCGTACACTCAAATTAGTTCTATTTCGCGTATTATACTGGTGAAAGTCACCATTTGTTTTAAAATCGTTTATATTTTTTTTGGACATACAACAAGGCTTCAAGAATATATTGACCAGATAGTGTCATAATATTTAATTCCTTAAACTTATTCCGTACCGACTCCCTCGGAGAAACACAACAAATACCCCGAACAGCCCGCTTCTGCAGCACAAATATGGATTGAACCTCTGCAGCAGCACCCCACAGTAAAATGCCGTACGACATAACGCTATGAAAGTAGCTATGGTACACAATTTTAGCCGTGTCCTCATCAGTAAACTGTCGGATTTTCTTTACTGCATATGCTGCAGAGCTCAGCCTATTCGAAAGAGTCTCTATGTGTGGGCCCCATTGGAGTTTACTATCTATTGTTATGCCTAGAAAAACAGTTTTGTCAACAAAGTTTAGTTCACTGTCCTTAATTTTCAGGTTACCAATATCTCGCTTTACGCTAGTAGTTGTAAATCTAATACATTTTGTTTTATTCTCATTAAGCAGTAAGTTATTTACATTAAACCAGTTAACTATACGAGAGATAGAATTGTTTACATCGTCCAATAATACGTTATTCCTATTCACTTTAAATAGAAGTGAAGTGTCATCAGCAAACAATACCATCTCATGAACTTCGTTGACAAAGAATGGGAGGTCATTTACAAGCAGCCATCCGTTAATAAATCAAGAAAACTAGAACATAATGTTTCAGTGGTCTGTATCTTTAACTACAGCGAACGTATTGCTAGTAGGAGTTATTTTTTGTTTTTTTTTTATATATTATATTAATGACATTTTAACGGTACTTCTTGAAGGTGTAATAATCTAATAAAATAGCAGTATTGAAATGTTGACGTTGACAATATATTTATGAAAATTTGCTATATTATGTAGGTTTCTAAGAAATATAATGTTGATGGATTTTTTTTTAAATTTTAATATTCTTTTAATGCAAAATATAAAAATTGTCAGCATAATCAATTGCTTTATTTCATCACAGTTAAACAGTGTAAATAAATTGATTTAGTTTTATGAGTTTAAATTTATTTTATTTAAATTTAAGAGTTAGCTTATGATTATTGAGACGATCAAAATTCTGAAACGTAGTCAACATTCCACCAAATTCAAAAATAGTATTGCGTAGGCGGCGCACCTTTACCTAGCCAGTTATTTAGAAAACTGAAAACAGGCCGCCAACTGTTCAACTACTTGCGATTTCAGAATTGTGTAAACATTAAATTATATTTTTACCATTGCTGAACTGAAAAGGGGCTTTACTCGTAGTATAAAACTTTAGACGAAATGCATAGCTAATTAAACCTAAGAATAGGTAGTTTCCGAAATAAAAAAAATATTTTTACTAACTTTTTTGATTCAACTAATTTTCTATACAGAGTAAAATAAAACACTAAGATTGGTTTTATTTCCAAAAAAAAAATAACTTTCATTACCTACTCACTTATTCTTCTCCTAAAACATCGTTAACTTTGCGAGCGATTTATTGAATAATTGACTGAATTTTAGAAGAGAAATCACACTCACTTACTTACTCCGCTAGCTGAAATGAGAAATTTACAGCGCCCTTCCCGCTATTTAAGAAGAAAAGTGACTAGCTAATTATTCTTTGGAATTTTAATTTTATTGCCAGCTATATGTAGATTTCAAATGGTAAGTATTACACCAAAACAGTTGAAACCAATACAAAATACTGTTATCATCTCGCCGGCAGTTTTTGAAGTTATACTTCTTTAGGCGCGTTATGAAAAATGTATGAGAGTGAAATTTTACGATGCGCGCGCACCGTGACACAAAATTATTAGTATGGGCGCCGAGCGTGCGCGAGCGAGATGGGAATAAGACAATCTGCAAGTAAAAAGAAATAGAATATGCGTGACATTAGCAGCTATGCCAAGAATTTTGAATGACCATAATGACATTTGTAGTAGACCTTTTAAGCAAATAAAGGAGTTTTAATTATTTATTCAAAGAAATTTAGCAATGCTTTTTCACAAAGACCTATTGTTACTTAGTTAAAAGGTTATGAAACATACCTAGTTATTGAATTGAATTAATAATATAATAAAATAATAAATAATAATTATTATTAATATTAATTAATAATTGAATAATATACTAAATATTAAATATTGTTAAATTAATAATGCTAAATATTTATTATTATTATTTAATATTTAAAAAAAATAAAGAAAGCCAAAGAAGTATAACTTCTTACGCGCGTACATAAGTACACGCACCATTTTTTTTAA